TGGGTGGGTTTTTTTCCTGTAGCATTTACAAGAGCAGCTGGACTTAGACCTCTCGCCTTTGGAGTACATGATGAAGTGCTACCCAGAGATCAAGGAGAAGGAAGAAATGAGGAAGATCATTGGGCGATACGGTCTCACTGGGAAACAGCAGGTCAGTGGAGGGGGATGTGGGAAAGAACCCCAGATAACTAGGAGACTAGCTGGATGGTTAGGGGACACTGTCCTGGCGATCCAGGTTTGAAAGCTATCCCCAAAGTCTCCTTTGATTCTAGCTCCTAAGAGAGCCACTACCTTTCCTTTATCCTAGGGTGTTATGTATTGGAGCATTCAGGTCTTTTTATGAGGGAGAAGCAGGGAGAGCATGCCAGTGTCTGCCATGCCCTTGCCTCCAGACTAGGAGGATGAGCCATAGTGTTTGAGGGCAAGAGAAACTGAAACCTAAAAAACAGGTTCCTGGATTCAGGTCTGGACTGAGGGTCTACTGGATTGCTCCAATTCATTAAGATTTAAGTGCTGCAAGAGAGTGAGAGGTATGGCCGTGGTAATGGCGAGGGCTTCAGGCTTCCAAATGTATCCCTCTCAGGCCTCGAGAGACTGGTGACCGTGCCACCATCTTGCTCTGTGATCTTGGGTCTTCTTGAGCCCCGCTTTTTGTAAAATGGCAATAATATTAATGGAGGAGCCGGGGAGACAGGTAAGTCGTGCTGTATGGAGGGGATGACACCAAGTTATATAAATGTCATGGTTCCATTCAGGTGAGCCCAATCCGGAACCTGTCTGATGGGCAGAAGTGCCGAGTGTGTCTGGCCTGGCTGGCCTGGCAGAACCCCCACATGCTCTTCCTGGATGAGCCCACCAATCACCTGGATATTGAGACCATTGATGCCCTGGCAGATGCCATCAATGAGTTTGAGGGTGGTATGATGCTGGTCAGCCATGATTTCAGACTCATTCAGCAGGTGAGGCTCCCAGCTGGGGTGGGAGGCCTGGTAGATGGCATCTAGGAGAAGGTTAGGTGGAACACAGTTGTGGCACCTGGAGGGCCCAGTCCCGTTGACGGGATTTGGTAAAATGGCTCAGGGCCTCACAGGGTGATGACCTTATAGCTCTTTGGGAAACTTAGAAAGGCTTAACAGAAATACTTCATTTCTTCATTAGCTATTTGGGGATGTTAGCCAACTTGGCATTGTTGGCCAAAATCGGGGAAGGAGTTGGGTAGAGAATGGGGTGCTTTTACTGCTGTCCCAAGATTCTTCAGCCTAGAAATTGTATTATACTAAGGAGGATTTGGATTAGACAGAGGGCTACCACCAGTCATTGGTGGAAAAGCCGCTGGTCATTTCTCTGAAGCTTTGGGGAAGCGATGAGGTGGAGAAAAGGAAGCTGAGAGTGAAGCCTCTGAATAGATCTAGGCCCTGCCAGGGAACTGGAAATAGGAATGACACGGTAGATCCCTGCTTGGAAGGCTCTGAACCTGCTGATTATGGTACACTAGAGTTAGGCCATTAGACCATCCCAAAGAACGTAGAAGATATAACCGTGAGCTGGATATGGGACAGGGTGGGCTGGGGCGGGGAGGGACGGGGAGGTTGTCAAGTTTTCTTCCTGGAATTCCCTAAGAACAGTCTTCTGGGCAGGGATGGGGAGAGTGCTGGCCAGGATTATTAAGTCTAGAATTGGCTTTCTAGGTTGCACAAGAAATCTGGGTCTGTGAGAAGCAGACAATCACCAGGTGGCCTGGAGACATCCTGGCCTATAAGGAGCACCTCAAGTCCAAGTTGGTGGGCGAGGAGCCCCAGCTCACCAGGAGGACCCACAACGTGTGAGCCCTCGCCCAGGCCTGGCCCCTGGGGCCACACTCCTGCATTGCTGCAATACTGCTCCCCAGCCCCTCCCCTGCCCCCACCTGCCTTAGCTGCACTCTGTGATCTTATCTACAGCTGGACAGTACCTGTCCGTTTCTTGTCCTTCCAGTTACTTTTGTCCATGTCTGGACTCGGCTGGCTGTTCCCGCCAGCCCCTTGCTGGTTACTGACCCTGATAGTGATGCAGCCAGAGGCACCCGAGGGTTAGCCCAAGGGCCCACACCTAGGGTTGACCCGTCAAGGAGCTTAGGATCCTCATTTTCTGGGTTTTGGTGATGTTGGAGGAATACCCCCCAGCCCACCGCCCCCATTCCTTGCCGCTTCTGGTTTGGAGCTCTGGACCAGGGCCTTGGTCCTGGTCGGTTTTTAAATAATTATTTAACTGTAACTTTTAGACCTGCGTGACATCTACAAAGCGTCCAATAAAGAAATAAGAAGCCATGGTCCCTACCTTCTTTCTCAGGTCTCTCTGGGCCCTTTGCTCCCCTCCTGCTTGCAGTGCCAACATTCACTTCCCCTCAGCAAGAGCTGGGGCGGGTTCGGTGGGATGGATGCGGACTGAAGACTAGTCTATAGGAGCTGGAAGAACTCTCTGATTTGAAATTTTGCCTTGTCTTAGGCCAGTGGTTCACAAACTTTAACATGTATCAGAATCACTTGGAGGACTCGTTAGGTCACATTGCTGGGTCTTGCCTCAGAGTTTCTGGTTCAGTAGGTCTCGGGGGAGACCAAGAAATAACATTTCTAACAAGTTTCCAGGTGATGCTGATGCTCCTGGGGTGGGGCCGCACTTTGAGAACCACTCTCCTGGAGCATGTTTTTCAGAGTGGTCTAAGGCTATCCTGCTGCCACCTGCACCACAACACTTGGGAAGCTTGTTAAAAATGCAGATTCCTGGGCTCCAGACCTATTGATTCCATTTGGTGAGATGGGAGAGATGCAGAAATGGTCAGGAGTCTGCGTTTTCATACTGAAGTTTGTGAACCACTGTTGCTAGTGGGATACAGGAAATTTTATTATTTTACCTGTCCAAAACCTTAATTAGCACTAATTTACTTCCAATCCAGGTCTCTGCATAGCCTGTCTGAACTTGAACAGCACTTCCAGCCTTTGTGCCACCAGGCACACCAGTGGCCATCCTTACCGATGTGGATTCATCACTCCACTTCTGAAACCTCAGCAGCCATCCCTGTGGGAAAACATACACAGCCATGATTTTTCAGTGTTCATTATGGTACATCTAAGACTACGTAAAACAAAAATGTCCCGGATGGTGTCTAAACCCCCAAGGAGCTCACGATCTAACAGAAAAGCTGACAAGACTAGAGAACAAGACAGAAGGGGCATATAGATCAGATGCTAAATTGTGACTTAGGTAGCAGGATACACAGCAGGATTCAAAGGGGAAGGAAGTCTCTAGTGGGTAGCTGCCCAGAAAGGTGGGGTTGGTGCTCTAACTTGAAAGATGAGTAGGATCTTCTCGGATGGCTGTAAAGTCCAAGAGCTTCCTTGGGCAGAGGGAACAGTAAGAGCATAAGGTGAGAAGCTACAGCTGAGCCTGAGCTGCCGAGGCTGGACGAGGGGCTGCGGCTCCTCTGCGCGCCAGCCACATGGGGCCTGGCTTTGCTGCTTTGTGCCTTAAGTGGGTCCCGGAGCAAAATGGCCTGTCAGTCCTGAGTATCCAGAGACTTGGTTGTGGGGAGAATGGGAACAGAGGAGAGCTCCTGCTACTTCAGCCAAGGGAGGGCCTGGGTATATTGTTAAGAACTCCCATTCAAGTCGGTTGGGGTCTCCAGGGTAGTGTGCCTGAGGTGCTAAGGGATGGGAGAGCTTCAGAACCTGGGGAATGGAAGTAAGCTAGTCAGCCTGTCCAAAAAAAAAGCCAATCAGAAATTTTAGGAATGCTTAAAAAGCCCACAAAATATGTATTGCTACAAATGCCTAAAATTAGCAGTGCCTTATTTTGGGTTAAGAACTGCCCTCCAGGTTCTCTTAAACCCAGCACGTAAGATGTGGCCAATGTTGAGAACTGGGTGGAGAGGTGAGTTGAGTGAGGTGGTTGCTCAGGCTCACTTTCCCCCAGTGACAGGTGGTGCTTGTCTTCAGTCCTCTTCCCCAGCTCTTCCTGACTGGGAAAACGCACTTTCCGCCAGCCTGTACTTTCCATGTTGCTCCAGGTTTCTTTAATCATAGCATTCAAGAACCTGAAATACTTGCTGACACATAGGTGCAAAGGGAGACAACTAACTTTCTCCATTTAACAGCTGCCTTTTTCTTCCCTTTGCTGCTGACTTCCACAGGACCCCGCGTCATCTGCTTTTATGGAGGGCATGTGTTTCTCTCCTCTGGCTTCCTCTGGTCTGCCCAAAGCCCTTCCCTATTAGACCCTCCCCCTGTGGTTTCCTGCCACCGACACTCGTCTAGGCTCAGCCTTCTGCTCCATCTTCTGCCTTCAGTCCAAGCCTCACTACTCTGCACCTGTTGATTCCACTCTGCTTTTCACACCGTTTATCTTTCTCCCATTCTTCCCAATTAAATTTTCCTCCCTTCTCCCCACTTAAATTGTACCCATCCTACAAGACCAGCTTCAAATCCCCATCTGTCCCATGAAGCCTCCTCTGGCTACTGCAGCCCTCAGTGATTTTTCTTTTGTCAACTCTGTCCCTACCACATGCTTTAGCCCTTTTACTCTGCCTTAATTGTTTGATGTGAACCAGTCTTGTCTCTTCAGCTGTATTGTAGGGCTCTGTGGGGGAAGCGTGCCTTGTGTTCCTCCTGACGCTCCCCAGCACTTTGAGCCATGCCTTGTCGAGCTGAGCCATGCTGACTGATTGCATGGCATGATTTGGTGGTGTGTGAACTCTAACAAGTGTGTAATACATTGGGAGACGATCCGGTGAAGGACGGGGCTGCTGTAGGGTTTCTTATTCCAAGACGGGAAATCACGAGGGGGAGAGGAGGGAGCAATTAGTCTCTCAAGCTTAACCCAGAGCATGTTCTGGATAGGGTTGGGCCAAGCCCCACCCCTCCTACCCCTCCATCCCAGGTGCTGGCTCCCAGCCCCACCTGGTGGGCAGCTGACTTCATAAAAGCAGCCCCAAGGAGGAGAAGGCGGCTGTTAGGAGGAGCAGGAGGATGAGCACTGAGCATGGACAGCAGCATCACCCTGGGGGCCGAAGGGGCTGTAGTCCTGGAGACAAGAAGTTCAAAAAGCGTAGCCGGCGCAAAGAAACCTACTCAATGTATATCTACAAGGTGCTGAAGCAGGTGAGCGTGGGGAGCTAGCATGTGTGTGTGTGGAATGTACTGGCAAAAGAGCCTTGAAAGAGTGCTGGACTGAGAGTTGGGATTCAGTTTAGTCCTGGCGCTGAGGCGAGTGGCCTCAGGTATGCCGTGTCCCTCTTAAGGTGGTCACACTTGATCTTGGAGGTCCCTACACCTCTCGGTATCTGTCTTGCACCTGTGACGTGCAGGAGACGTTTAAAGCATGCTCCCACAGTCCAGAGGCTTACAGGGTTTTGGACAGAAAGATGGTCATGTGGAATGCCAAGTGGGACATAATTAAGACAAGGAGGACCACAAGAAAGTGCTGGGCTGAAGGTGATCAGGTGCCAAACACATTATGGTACAAACAAGATAGTACTAGCTGGTGGCTAGAGTGAGGAGCAATTCTTGTAAACTGAAGTCTTGGGAAAGGCCTTCCAGACGAGTGGCACCCAGTCTTTCAGGAGCTAAGGGGTTGGTCTCCCTTATAGATGAAGGACCTGAAGCTCAATTATCTTGAGTTGACTGAGTCACATGACCTGACAGCAGCAGAGGTCAGGCCCCCCTCGCTGTGGGCAACCCCCTCGCAATCTTCCACCCCTGAACCCACAGGTGCTCTCTGTTCATGCAGCCTACCAGAGCACCTGTGGGAAGCATCTACTCCTGGGACTCGCACACTGACGTTTTTGGGCACTGATGGGTACCCAAAAACCAGTGTGTCTGGAGGATCCAAGGCAACCTGGCCTCAAAGTCTGTGCCCTGTCAGCAGAGCCAGGGTCAGGAGGAGGCTGGGTAGCTATGTTGCCTGCCCTGGGTCTCTCTAACCTGCCTCAGATTCTTACCCCTCCATTAGATTAGATCTCAGAGGTGGAACCTGTCTCCAGTCTGAATCCTATTAGCAGTTTTAGTGACCTGACAACGTGGGTCTCGGGAATGCATGGGTGAGGAGGGATGGATTGGCCGAAATGGCAGCACCAGAGGACAGACTCCAGTGTCCTGAAGAAAGTGGGGTGGGAGCGGGTATTAGTGAGCCCTGCAGCTTAGCCTAACTTTGGGGCTCAAAACTTGTGAGGGAAGGGTTGGACGGGACTGGACTCACAGAGGAGAGCTGCTGAGCAAGTTACCCATGCACTGCAAAACTTACTGTTTTCACCCCAACCTGAGGAGACCAGAATGCGATGACAACACAAGTTTAGGCTAAATCAGCCTCATACTGGCTCAAATTTCTTGCTGTCAGTGGTGTCCAGAGGTGGTGGGGAGAGCGTGTGGCTGGGCAGGAGGAGCCTGAGTTCTAGTTCTGTCTCCAACATTGGCTTGATATACATTGTTGGGCAGTCACTTATCTCCCACTTTACAGAGAAACAATGTCTGCCTACTCACAGTTTAGGATTGTTATCAGGTGCCTACCATTTGTTTTACTAGAGATCACCTAGTTCAAAAGCTTGTGGGCCAGAAGAGGAAACTGAGGCCCAGAGGAAAGTGCCTTATTCGAGGTCATACAGTGATTCACAGTACAGCCACAGAACCCAGGTCTCCTAACTCTTAGTCTGGTGTTGAGGTTGTGTGATATAAGTGTGCTCTCTGGAAAGAAATTTGGTAATAATCTACTAAGTTAAGTGCACAAACCCTTGACCCCTGCAGTCCCACCTCTAGGAAGAACCTTCATCATGCTTGTACAAATGTTCAAAGACGTGTATTTACTATAACACAATCTAATAGCAAAAAAACAAGCAAAAGCCGTAAATGTCCATTAAGAGAGGAATGGTGGTATACACTGATTCATCTATACAACGGAGTACTATGCAAATAAATTAAATGAAAAAGGCAAAATGCTGTGTAACTGATTCCATTTGTCAAAGATAGATGTTTATCTGTGCTTATACAAGGAACGTAATAGCATTTAGTTATTTTTTGTGGTTGGGAGAAACTTTAATTTGGATATAGTAGAAAAAACAAATCCCTCTTGCTGTCTCTTGGCCTCTGGGAAGATGCTAGTGAGGCGGCCTAGCAGTTCTGCCTCCAGCTTCCTGAAGTCCCCAACTTGGGGCTGGGGCTTGCGGCGCCAGACAGAGCCTCCTGGTTAACAGAGTGGTTCTGCTGCTTCTCCAGGTGCACCCAGACATCGGCATCTCTTCCAAGGCCATGAGTATCATGAACTCATTTGTGAATGATGTGTTTGAGCGGCTGGCCGGTGAGGCTGCCCGGCTGGCCCAGTACTCGGGCCGAACCACACTGACATCCCGGGAAGTCCAGACGGCTGTGCGTCTGCTGCTGCCTGGGGAGCTGGCCAAGCACGCCGTGTCTGAGGGCACCAAGGCCGTCACCAAGTACACCAGCTCCAAGTGACCCAGGGCCTAACATTAATAAAGGGTGAACTGCTCCCGTGCACTGTGGTGATTTGCAAAAGGGATATGTGAAGGCCAGGTGTGATGTGGGGCAAGGATATCGTCACCTTTTATGGCTACCAAGGTGGAATAATAACACATTCATACTTTTTAAAAACTGCTTTCTAGGTGTACCCCATGAAGGATACTGATAGTGCTTTGTAAACGTACAGATGTCTAATTGGTAGTGAGCTGAAGTAGGACTTGGGATCTGGGTTAGAATCTTGCATCTGCTGCCAGCTGTTTCCATCCCAGCCTCTCTGGGCCAGAAATTCCTCACGTGTGTTACTCTTCCAGCCCATGGTTTTGTGATACCATTTCTGGCAAACTATCATTTTTGTCCTGTGCTGGGCGCAGGGGCTACACAGATCTATTCTTCAAGATACAAAACGGGAAGCCCAAACCAGCTTCTAAATAACCTGCGGGGATCTAGAAGATGTTTTTATTTTCCGCCAACATTTTCTTCCCCTTAATTTCAGAACAAACTGGTGGGAATGTTTTTTAGACCTAACTTTTCTTCCCCAATTTGATTTTGAAAAATCTCAAAAACCCTCAGAAAAATTGCAAGAAAGTACAGTGACCACTTGCATGTCTTTCACCTAGATTCACCACTTAACGTTCAGCCACATTTGCGTTTTCTCTCTCATTCGGCCTCTGTTCTATCTCGTGAGCATATGACCCATAAATTCTCTCCCATGCTCTTTGAGGGTGGGGTGAAGGGGTGGGATTTAGTGAACAAATCCAGAATCCTTTATGTTCCCTTCGTAACTGCATAGACTCAGCTTGTCGCCTTCAACTTCGTGTACTGAAAAGGCTCACTGTAATAACGGCTCACACTGGGATGCAGTCCCACATACTTCCCATGCATTTTCTCATACGTCAAGCCTAACGTGGACATGCCATGAGATGAGTACTGATTATCCACGTTTTGGTCCCACAACTGGAAGGAGATCTGCCCCTGAGCCTCGGCTCTTCCCCACTCCCACTGTGTTTCATACTTGCTACTCAAGATGTGATTTGGAGACCAGCAGCATCTATATGCCTGGGAGCTTGTTAGAAATGCAAAGTCTTGGGCCCCACCTCAGACTGTGGAATCAGAATCTGCATTTTGACAAGATCCTCAGGTAATTTGCATGCACACTAAAATGCAAGAACGCCTCGTCTCTCGCTCCGCTTTGCTGCTGCCTCCCTTCTTCCGCTTTTCCTTCACCCTGTGCCTTATATATTTATTTATTCATAAGTCCTACTTAACACTGAGCCAAAAGGGTCACCCCCAGCTGACCAGAGTCAGGATGTGATGTTTTGTATTTTCTGAAGAATGGTCTCCTGAGCCTGTAGCAGTGATGGGGAAACCCACAGAAGGCTTGCAATGAGCCCCAATCACCACTGAGTCCTGTCCATTACACTCTCAAGTCATTCCTTACATGGTATAGTTCACACGAACCATGTGAACTGCCATCAGGCCCAGGGATTCAGGTCTGCTTATGCTCACTTCAAGGAATAAGTTGTGACCTCAGAGTGTGAGCCCAGGCCTTCCCACCCCAACTCCAGGCCCTTCTCCCCTCGCATCACAGCTGCCTCCAGGACAGTCGTATACAAGAGTAAAGGAGGCTGGGTCTGAATTAAGGAATACAGCATTCCTCCCACTGAGAAGTGCAGTCAGAGTAACGCCTTTAGGACCCGTGTTCACCCAGAGCCTCACAGTTACAGGGTGACTTCAGACAGAGACCATGCTTTCATTTGATCCTCACCAGAAAAGTAGCCACAGCTGACACCACACCCTGCCCTAACCTTCCAAGGCTTCCACCCTCCCTCCAGCTTGCTGCCTCCAGGATGTCCTCTGAGATGTGTCCCCAATCCTGCACCTGCAGCCCCCTCCCCTCACTGCCTTAGAACATTGGGACAAAGGGACAGAACTCTTAAAAGAGGGCTGTTCTGGATTTGGGGGGTGGAGTCAGGGTGGAATCACAGAGGTTCTGTGGAATCCACCACCAGCTCACAAAGGGCAGCGTGAGGAGTGGGCACCATGTCTGAGCGGTGAGTGAGGGGCTGGAGCGGAAACCCCAGGTCAGGGACAGCAAAGAGCAAAGTGCTTCCCTGGTGCTGTCAGGCTGGGGCCGAAGGAGGGGGAGAAGGACTGGTGGGGAGAGGGAGGTTCTGTGCTGGGCCCCAGCCATTCACACAGCCACCATGGCTGCTCCTGCCTGTGGTCAGCTTTCGCTCTTCCGACTTCCCCAGGACTATTCATTCCAGAACCAGGGCTTTGCTCTGGGGAAGGGACCTTTCTCTACAGTCATCCCTCACCCCCACTTCCCATCCACCATCCCAGACCATTGCAGCACCCCTGGGCTGCACCCTCACCCTAAAGGACCGACTGTCTGCTAACTCCAAAAGCCCTCCTTAGAGGGAGCCCCTAAAGGCCATGCCCACTCTTCATTCTTCTTGCCAATCCATCAGCAGACTACCTCCCGCCAGTGACCCCAGTCTCACACCTTCTCTAAGCCCCAGTGTGCACACTGTGACTACCATCTCATTCCCCGCCGAGGACTCCTCACTTCACTGAACTTCACTTTGACACCATGAGTAACCTTAACGTTACACTTTCTGGAACCCCAAGTTCACACTCCTCAAAAGATCAGCGTCCATCTCCCCTGTCGACTGTCCCCCCTCCTCCCAGCCTCAGAGCACCCTGGTGCACACTGCCTCTTCTCCAGGGCTTATCAACGCCTCTGGGACTCCTCCCATGTGACCCTGCAAGAGCTGCTGGACCGAGAGCAGCCCCTGCTCGACCCCGTGCCTGACCGGGAGCGGCAGTCCTTCCAGTACAGGCTCTCAGTGCTCTACCTGTACTACCTGGGGCTGCTGCGCCAGTTCGATACCCTCTACGACCAGGTGTTGCAGCCACAGAAGCGGCGGCTGCTGCGGCGCCTGCTGGACAGTGTGGCGGGCCGCGTGCTGGAGCTCAAGGATGATCTGGTGCGCGCCGACCTGTGTGAGAGCCACTGTCTGGACCACGTGCTGCAGGACCTCAAACTCACACCGGTGCGCAGGCCATGGCGTGGGGCCAAGCCCACGCCAGCTGGGGGTGGGGGTTGGCCTTGACCTCCTGTTGACACGGAGCCACGCCCCTGACAGCTGATGGAGGATGAGGGCTGACTTGGACCTCCCACCGACACCTCTGGCGTTGGGACATCTGCAAAGGAAGGAGGCCAGGGCAGATCAGGGGATGGGATTTGGTCTCAGGAGAAGGGCTTCAGGAACCTGGCGGTGCAGGCAAGTAGTTAGGAGGTGGCTGGCGAGACGCAGGAATGACTGGGGATTGGTGAAGAGAGTCCTCTATATGTTTGCTCCTCAGTGTGGTCTGTGGACCAGCAGCATCAGCATCACCTAGGAGTTGTTAGAAATGCAGAATCTCTGGCTGCACCTGAAACCCACTAATCTGCATCTGTGTTTTAACAAGACTCTCAGGTGATCTGTATGCACTGGGAAGTTCCAGAGCACAGAGCTTCTGCACTGGCCTCTACTCTGCCCTGAGGTCATGGTTCACTGCTCCATGTCCAAGACAGTCTCAAAGTTCTCCAGACCAGCTGCATCAGACTCAGCTGTAGACTTGAAAAAACAAACAGATTCTCCAGCCTCTGCCATTCTGATGTGGTAGTCTGGGGAGGGCCTAGGAGTCTGCATTTTAAGACTTCCCAGTTGACTCTGATGCACAGCCAGGTTTCAGACCACTGCCCTTTACCTACCATGATCCTCCAGAATTCAACTCTGGCCACATGGTGAGGGCAGGAGAAGAGAGGGATAGCCCTTTGGGTGATCTGCCCATAACCTGTAAATTTCCCACCCCAGGGCTCTAGGATGGAGGAAAACAGCACCAGGGTCTGCGTGAGCAGCTGAAAATGGTAATGGATCAGTCCGATGGCCCAGCTTTTGATTCCTGACCCTCCTTCCCCCATATTTCCCCAAAGGCAGACCTGGAGGTTCCAATCCCCAAATACTTCCTGCTGGAGCAGTCCAGCATTCTGAGGGAGCGAGGGCTGATGCTGGCAGAGATCCTGTCCAGAATGGAGCCAGTGTCCTCCGAGGAAGTAAGTCCAGGAGATACCTTCCCAGACTCCTCTCAGACTCTGGCTCCCAGAACAGAGTTGCCACCCTCCAGGATGCAGAGAGGCCCTGCGTTGCCCTAGACCCACCTCCGAGTGCTCTGTGGGTAATCCCTGGCCCCCTTCAAGGCTGCTCTTGTGCTCCTTTAGCCTTCCAACACCAAGGTAGGGGGACAGAGGTCGGCACCTAGATGCCCCGGGAGGATCAAGCCCCCAGCACGTCCTTTCGCGGCTGGTATCCCAGCTGCCTGCTAGGACGCAAGCCCCCTCTCATCTCCTCCTGCTCCTTTGCCCCTGCTCTGGCCAGAGATTTCCAGAAATGCACCGGACTGAGGCCGTAACCCTACTGCAAAGGGCCGAGCGGGCCAGGCAAGGCCGGCTCCGAGCCACCTTTATGCGAGAGATTCGGAGAGAGGAGGAGCGGGATCGGAAGATTTGGGAGGAGGGACGGCACAAGTTCAGTCAGGACCAAGCAGCTATCACTATACAGAAGGTAACCCCTGGCACCTAGGAGGAAGGTCAGGGTAGAGTCCCCTCCTCCGGGAAGAATGCCCAGCTCAGCAATTGACGACAGAGATGCACGTGCTTGGATTCTGTTGCCCCACAACTAGATCCTAAACTAGGGACCTTAATCAGTCAATAACCATGTGTCTTATTTGTTATTATTTATTCTACATTGCTACCCCCAAAAGGACTTGAAGTGGGATACCATAAAAACCCTAGAAACAGAAAGATCATTAAAATTAGGGGAGAAAGATCCATAATAAGGTAGCAGAACAGAGTAGATGATCATTCCAGAAACTCTTAAGACTTATTTTAACTCATGTTAAAAATGAGTCACTAAAATGGGTCCCGAGCCTCCTGACAGCTGAGGCAGAAGGA